AGATAGGGGTAGGGTAAACTATAAAGTTTAGATGAACAGTCAGCAGCTTTTCTAAAATGACAGTACTGTCTTGATTTGTTCTTTTAAATTTAACTGAGGTCTCAAGTCATCGCTAGGGTCCCTTTCATTGTAGCATACATAGTCCCCTTATCTCCCTATTGTCCTGTGATGATGACAGTGAGATGGAGCTGCCTTAGGCCCCTTCACAGATGCTGATGACCCTGCAAGGCCGCAGGCAAGTTCTTTTTTTCTGGACTTCTCCACCTCCCCCTCTCCTCTTGCTCCACAATGTGAATAGACTCTAGGAGCATCACCACTTGGGGTGTTGCCAGCCAGCCCCTTTGCTGTTTTAGAGTTGGTGGGAATTAGCTAGACAGTTGTTTGAAAGCAAAAACAAGATCTCAGGATTGGTGCTGGGGAAAAGCCAGCTTGTAGAGCAGGTGAGAAGTGCCCAGAGACAAATTGCCTGTTGTGTAGGTTGTACTGAGCTCATTTACATGTCGCTCCTTTGCTAGGCCTCCCTAGAATACAATCTATAGCCCATTATCTTTGCCCTTAACAAATGTAGACTCTCTAATCACACCAGCTTTTAGTTTGGCTGTTTCCATGCACTAATTAGGCTGACCTTAATCCATATAAGCTGTAATATTCCTCTGTGTGTCCCATGGTAACTACCCACCCCTTCCCTTTAGCATATTTAAGCCTCATGACTTGAATAGTAGAAGTTCAAGTCTAGCTCCCCGAAATCATTGAGCTAGAGCCCTTTTTCTACTCATGGCTGACAAGTTAATAGCAAGAGGTTCTCACTCTACAAAGGTAGTAGTGTGGTCAGGTTCTTTTCCTAAATTCTCAGCTTGGCATGAAAGTGGAGGTTTTTCTCTTCCATCTTTTTCTGTAACATGGTGACTCAAACTGGACTCTTGTCCATACCCAGCAGCGTCTGTGTATATTTTCTGAAATGCTTTAAATTAAAGGGTTATACAAGTCATTACCCCAAGTCATCAAAACAGCAATTAACTCAGTAATCATGACATGAAGCCAGCTGTCTCCTTTGGGAATGTAAAATTGAAAACCAATGCTACAGTGTGCTTGGCTCAGCCATGAACTCCCATGAAGCACAACTAAATATTGCAAATGTAAATATTGTAAATATTTACATATAGAGAGGCAATGTACTAGATTGCCTCTTGGGGGAAGGTGATTTGAACAAAGGGAAACAAATAGGAGAGTAAAAAGAGAAAGTATCCATGTCTAGGAGAATATCTTTACAAATAAATATCTACAATTTTGTTGTTTATTATATGACAGATTATTTAGTATATTTAACAAATTGAGAAACAGTGCTGGTTAAATTTCCCCTAGGAGATTAACATCTTTGGCAACAATAGTATAAAAAATTGGGCTAATTTTGTTATGCATTCTGACTATATACAATCATAGTCATTTTAGAATTACATTTTGAGATTAAGTTATATTATATATAAAATAAAAGAGCTCATTGCATAAAGAAGCTATGGAAACTTAAAAAATATTTTGAGAACTTCTTCCCCAACTATTGCCCTCATCATTTAACAATGAAAACCTCCATTTTTCTTCAAGCTAGAAGTCCCTATACTCAGATCATATGACAGCAATCAGATTAGGGTTTTCTAAATGAATGAGGACCCACAAAAGCTACAACCAAAGGCTTTGGAAAGAGATGTTTGCTTTTCTGATTATAAAATTACCATGTGCATATAGATTATTTAAAAAATACATAAAGTATAAAAATAAACATTACCAATGTAATCCCACCATGAGACTACTGTTAATACTTTGCTACTACTACCTTAATGTTCTTACTTTGCTTTTGTGTATGCATTTTTTCATACGATTTGAATTATACCATAATATATACACTCATATTCTACTTTTATTTAAACTTCATTAGTGGTTCCTCATTTTTTAACTTTTTCTTTGAAAATATTTAAAGCACATGTGCCAGACTATTGAATTATACTCTTATTGAATGTTTTTACTAATAACTGATGTTACAGTGAACATTTTAGTATATTAATCTTTGATTCTTTGCTTGTTGTTTAGAATATATTCTTAGAAAGAAAGTCAATTGCTTGGGCATATGACATATTGCTAAATTACATTTTAGACAGATGATACTAATTTTTACTCAGTGTTTATGTGTGCTCCAACCTCACTGCATCTTCAGTGCTGTTGAGTATTATTTTCTTCATCCAATGGTTCTCTGGCTTCACTTTGGAATCCACACAGGGGCAACAAACAAACAAATAGATATGTCTATGCCTGGGCTCTACCCCAAACCAATTAAATTAGGATTTTTGAGCAGTGGGATTACCAATGCATCTGTAATTTTAAAAGCTCCCAGTGACTCTAGTTGATAGAAGGAGTTCAGAACCATTTTGCTAACTGGGTAAATGAAAAGTATTCTTCTTCAATACCCTTTGGTATCGGGGTACTTAGAATTTAAGTAGCATATGTTTTGTCTCATTAGCTTGAAAAACACACTGTGAAATTATAGTCCTGGTGAAAAGATTTTGCCTCAATTGAATTTTCATAGACTTGGAAAAAATAAGGCCAAATAGCATGCCCTATCCCCCCTATAGACTTACCATATTGTCAATTAGTTCTTAGAGAAGCTTTGCAGAGCCTTTTCTACTTTTTTATATTTTGTCTTTAAGTTTTATATTTGAAGCTCTTTAAGAAGTGGTAAATGCCAGTTGTCTTTCTCATCACTATTCAATTGATTATAAAATATTTTATTTATTTAGGCATTTTCAATACCAGGACAGGCATTGTCAAATACAAGAGTTCCTTCTGTGTCTTAGTGTGACATTATTTACCCATATCTTATTGTTTGGTAGATTAAAATACCAAGGAAGACTATAATTGCCTGCGACTTTGGTCTGCCAGTTTTGATGAAGGTTCATTAAAGCTCCAGACATGATCTCAGTCCTGCTTTTGATTGAGTTGGTCTAGGGAAGCCCTTTTCACTCATCCTGCTAATATATGCTGATGTGTACTGTTCTGTTCTTTCTTGAAATGATTTTCCTATGTGTGTGAAATAAGCGAAGAGGATGTTTCCTTCTCTTCTCTAGTGATCTTACTTCAAAATCTGATGCCAGATATCTACTATGTGATCTTCCTAAAGCCTCTTGTTTCCTCATTTCTATCGTGCCTCCAGCCCTACCTGTTACTTTTCCCCAAGATGGAGAACTCCCTTGTGCGCCTGTCCAAATAGTCACTTCCCCATACTCTCTTGTAGCCAAAGAGTGGTGATATGACAAAATTCTGTTCAATTATATGTAAACTGAATTCTACTGAGAGTTGGGGAAGAGGCTCGTTTTCTGAATAAAGGCATAGTGGTACTGGAACCCGCTTTCCTAACTTCTAGCCTTGAATTCACATGTGATGCCTGGACTTTGTTGGTCATTTTGAAACCACAGGGTAATAGAGCTGACAGAAAGATCAAGAGAATGATGGAGATTCAGTCTTTGCCATCTTTGACCTGCTGAACCAACACTAACCATTGCCCACCTGCAGCTTTCCTGCATCAGGAAAATACACCCTTGGTTAAATCAGTATGAGATGGCTTTTTTGTTACTTTCAGCTGAAAGCATTTCTGGTTCACCCAAATATTAGTCAATATCACATTTAGCTATTGATTATAGCTTGCCATGTTTTATATATTCCATGTAAGAATGGAATTATAAGGCCACAGTTGTTCCTAAATGGGATGAGGCCAAGCTACTTTATCTTCCTTTTATTATCTTCACCCTTGTGGCAATGCTCAGTCTTGGGCAAAAAACCAGGAAAAATGATTGCTTCTCAGTGTCGTCTGTTCCCGATTATGTTTCTGCCTGATATATTTGGGATGTGCATCCTCTTCAGTCTCAGGTTGAAATGTGACCTGCAGTGTTGGAGGTGGGCCTGGGAGATGTTTGTTCTGAGTCCCGCTTTTGATTGAAGCAGGGGGAGGTGGGAGGTGTTTGGGTCATGGAGGTGGATCCCTCCTGAATGGCTTGTTGCCCTCCTTATGGTAGTCAGTGAGTTCTTGCTCTGGTAGTTCGTGCAAGAGCTGGTTGTTTAAAAGAGTCTACCAACCCCCTCTCTAATCTCCCTTGCTTTCTGTCTTGCCATGTGATACAGCAGCTTCCTCTTCACCATCCACCGTGATTGCAAGCTCCCTGAGGTCCTCACCAGAAGCAGATGCCAGCAGCATACTTCCTGTACAGCCTGCAGAACTGTAAGCTAAGATAAGCCTCTTTTCTTTACAAATTATCCAGTCTCAGGTGTTCCTTTATAGCAATGAAAATGAACTAACAAAGAAAATTGGTGCTAATGAGTGGGTTGTTCCTATAAAGATAACCAAAAATGTGGAAGCAGGTTTGGAACTGGGTGATGGGCCGAGGTTGGAAGAGTTTGGAGGGCTCAGATGAAGACAGGAATCTGAGGGAAAGTTTGAAACTTCTTAGACACTGGTTAAATGGTTGTGACAGAAGTTGTGACATAAATATGAACAGTGAAGGCCAGGCTAATGAGGCCTTGAATGGAAACATGAAGCTAAGTGGGAACTGAAGCATAGATGACCTATGTTATGCCGTAGCAAAGAACATGGCTGCATTGCATCCATAACCTAGAGTTTGTGGAAGCTTGAGCTTAAGAGTCATGACCCGGCTGGGCGCGGTGGCTCACGCCTATAATCCCAACACTTTGGGAGGCCGAGGCGGGTGGATCACAAGGTCAAGAGATCGAGACCATCCTGGTCAACATGGCGAAACCTCGTCTCTACTAAAAATACAAAAATTAGCTGGGCATGGTGGTGCGTGCCTGTAATCCCAGCTACTCGGGAGGCTGAGGCAGGAGAATTGCCTGAACCCAGGAGGCGGAGGTTGCAGTGAGCCAAGATTGCACCATTGCACTCCAGCCAGGGTAACAAGAGAGAAACCCTGTTTTAAAAAAAAAAAAAAAAAAAAAAAAAGAGTCATGACCCAGGATATCTGCTTGAGTACATTTCTTAGCAGCAAAGCACACATGAAGTAGTGTGGCTGTTTCTAACAGCCTATGATAAGACATGGGAGTAAAGGAATAACTTAAAGTGAGAACTTATATTTAAAAGGGAAGCAGAGCATAAAAGTTTGGAAAATTTGCACCCTTGTCATGTGATAGAGAAGGAAAGAGCATTTCCAGGCAAGGAACACAAACAGGCTCTGAAGCAAGCACTTGCTAGATACGTTAGCATGACTCAATGGGAGCCAAGCGCTAATATTTATGACAATGAGAAAAAGGCCTTGAAGGCATTTCAGAGATGTGATTGGCCCCATCACAGGCCCAGGGGCCTAAGAGGAAAGAATGGTTTCAGGGACTAGGTTCTGAGTCATCCTTGGGATGGTCATCCTTGGGATTCTGCTCCCAGCATGCAGACTACTGTTCCAGCCATGGCTCAAAGGGTTCCAGGTACAGCTGGGGATACCACTCCTGAGAGCACAAACTGTAAGTCTTGGCAGCTTCCACATGATGTTAAGTCTGCAGGCACACAAAATGCAAAAATGAAAGAGGCTTGGCAGATTCTCCTTAGATTTCAGATGTATCAGAAAGTCTGGGTGCCTAGGCAGAAGCATTCTCCAGGGGTGGAACCCTGCAAAAGGCCCCTACTGGGGTAGTGCCAAGAGGAAAGGTGGGGTTGGAGCCCCCACACAGAGTCCCCACCAGGGTATTACCTAGTGGAGCTGTGAGAACAGGGATGTCACTCTCCAGACACCAGAATGGTACAGCCACTGGCAGCTTGCACCATCAGCATGAAAAGGCTGCAGGTACCAGATTTCAACCAGTGAGAGCAGCCACAGAGGCGGAGCTGCCCAAGGCCTTGAGAGCCCACCTGTTGCCCTAATGTGTCCTGCATGAAGGACATGGAGTCAAAGCAGATTATGTTGGAGCTTTAAGATTTAATGAATACCCTGCTGGGTTTCAGACTTGCATGAGTTTGTCGTGCCTTTCCTTTTGGCTGATTTTTTCCTTTGGAATGGGAATGTCTACCCAATGCCTGTAGCGCCATTGTATCTTGGGAGTAAATAACTTGTTTTGATTTTATAGGCTCATGGGTGGAGGGAACTTGGTCTTAAGTCTCAGGTGAGACTTTGGACTTTGAGGTAATGCTGGAATGAATTAAGACTTTGGGGGAGTATTGGGAAGGGATGATTGTATTTTGCAATGTGAGAAGAACTGAGATTTGGGGGGCCAGGGGCAGAATTATACAGTTTGGATGTATGCCCCCTCCACACCTCATGTTGAAATATGACCTCCAATGTTGGAGGCGGGCCTGATGGGAGGTGTTTTGGTCATGGGGACAGATTCCTTATGAATGGCTTGGTGCCATTTCCACAGCAATGAATGAGTTTTTGCTCTAGTGGTTCAAGCAAGATCTAGTTGTTTAAAAGAGCCTGGCACCTGCCCCTGCCTTATTTCCTCTCTCAAGGTATGATATGCTGGCTCCCTCTTTGCCTTCCTCCATGGTTGTAGTTAGCTCCCTGAGGCTCACACCAGAAGCAGATACCAGCACCACATTTCCTGTACATCCCACATAACAGCCAAAATAAAGCTCTTTTCTTTATAAATTACCCAGTTTCTGGTATTCCTCTGTATCAATAAAAACTAACTAACACACTGCCTTATTTCAGTAAGTCACCTTGCTTCAGCCTAAAGCTATGTTAGCTGAATTCAAGTAGGAACAAGTGCTGGGGAGTGATTGTCTATAACAATTTCTACAAACTTTCAGCCTTGAATCGTGGCCCACAAACATACAGAAGTATAGGTATTTATTTCCTAATTACCATTGCTTCTTGTGAATATCTCTCCTCTAAATCCAGGTACAGTGAGAAGGCTGATGTCTAAGGCAGGATCTTGGTACCTCTTGCCATCTAACTATCATTATACTACTCTGATTTTGATACAACAATAATTGCCACAGTTTTGGTAATGAACATAATTTGAGGTTACATATATTTATTCTGTGCTGGCAACTCTTATGCCAGTGCCTTAATTGGTTTTGTTGGAGTGAGGTCAAAGCCTTGGGTATATAAAGCAATTAATACCTTTTGGCATTTTGCATCAATCACTGGAGCTTCATCAATTTTTGATCAACTATGTTATGTACATATTTACTGAACACAGGCTGTTATGATTTATGTGCTTTCAACTGAGGGATGGCCAAGAAAATGCAAATTGCTCGAAGTTAAAGAGAAATCTACAAATGAGGGATGGCCAAGAAAATGCAAATTGCTCGAAGTTAAAGAGAAATCTATCAAATGTTCAGTCTTTGCTACAATAGCTAAGTGTTGAACCAAGTTGGACAATAAAGGCAAATTTAACCTCTTACCTCTGTAAAATAATCACAAGCTTTACCTAGTCCAAATTTTTAGGTGAGAGATTTTCAGATGGGTTTTGCATTGTTTTTTGGCTGTGCACTGTTTGTTTCTCTTAAGATATGTAGGAATACACAGAACTGGTCAGCATTTTGCCACTACATAATCCTTAATCATCTTAAATATGTGAAAGTAAAAGGCAAAAATATATAATTACAATTCTGGTCTTTAACTAAAATACTGAAAGAAAGACTTGTTTTATTTGTGACCAAGAGTCACAATTTCATCTTCTTTTTCAGATGTAACATGTAGTGGACCATGAAAACAGTTAAGAAAAAGAGCTTTCTTTGAAGCCTGACTCATATTACTTGCTTACTGGTGCACACTCTTTTCATAACTTTATCATCATGATTCTAGCTCCACCTGATTTGAACAGAAACTGATGATGGGTAGAAGGGAGCCTTGTAGAATGTTATTTCCTACCGGAGTATCCAAAAAAAAGGTTGTAAAGGAAAACCCAAGTAGATCCTTTGCAGACTGACACTTTTAAAAAAATTCTTATTTCTATGTTTCTGTAAGTTATTGGGGGTACAGGTGGTATTTGGTTACATGAGTAAGTTTTTTAGTGGTAATTTGTGAGGTTTTGGTTCACCCATCACCCAACCAGTATACACAGCACCTTATTTGTAGTCTTTTATCCCTCGCCCCACTCCCAGTCTTCCCTGACAAGTTTGCAAAGTCCACTGTGTCATTCTTATGCCTTTACGTCCTCATAGCTTAGCCTCCACATATCAGTGAGAACATTCAATGTTTGGTTTTCCATTCCTGAGTTACTTCACTTAGAATAATAGTCTCCAGTCTCATCCAGGTCACTGCAAATGTTTTTAATCCATTCCTTTTTATGGCTGCATAGTATTTCATTATATATATAAAGTTTCTTTATCTATTTGTTGATTGATAAGCATTTGGGTGGTTCCTCAATTTTGCAATTGTGAATTGTGCTGCTGTAAATATGCGTGTGCAAGTATCTTTTTCAAGTCATGTCTTCTTTTCCTCTGGGTAGACACCCAGTAGTGGGATTGCTGGATCAAATGGTAGTTCCACTTTTAGTTCTTTAAGGAATCTCCACACTATTTTCCATAGTCGCTATACTTGTTTACCTTCCCACCAGCAGTGTAGAAGTGTTCCCTGATCACTGCATCCACACCAACATCTACTCTTTTTTAAATTTTTTTGATTATGGCCATTCTTGCAGTAATAAGGTGATATCATATTGTGGTTTTGATTTGCATTTCCCTGATCATTTGTTATGTTAAGCATTTTTTCATACGTTTGTTGGCCATTTGTATATCTTCTTTTGAGAATTGTCTACTCATGTCTTCAGGCCACTTTTTGATGGGATTGTTTGTTTGTTTGTTTGTTTGTTTGTTTGTTTTTGCGGATTTCTTTGAGTTCGTTGTAGATTTTGGATATTAGTCTTTGAAGATTTTCTCCCACTCTGTGGGTTGTCTGTTTACTCTGCTAACTGTTCCCTTTGCCATGCAAAGACTCTTTAGTTTAATTAGGTCCCAGCTATTTATCTTTGTTTTTATTGCATTTGCTTTTGGATTCTTGGTCATGAAATCCTTGCCTAAGCCAATGTCTAGAAGAGTTTTTCCAGTGTTGTCATCTAGAGTTTTTATAGTTTCAGGTCTTACGTTTAAGTCCTTAATCCACCTTGAGTTGATTTTTGTATAAGGTGAGAAATGAAGATCTAGTTTCATTCTCCTACATGTGGCTAGCCAATTATTCCAGCACCATTTGTTGAAAAGACTGTCCTTTCCCCAGTTTTTGTTTTTGTTTACTTTGTTGAAGATCAGTTGGCTACAAGTATTTGGATTTATTTCTGGGTTCTCTATTCTGTTCCATTGGTTTATGTGCTTATTTTTATACCAGTACCATACTGTTTTGGTGACTATCATCTTATAGTATAGTTTGAAATCAGGTAGCGTGATGCCTCTAGATTTGTTCTTTTTGCTTAGTCTTGCTTTGGCTATGTGGGCTCAGCTTCGGTTCCTTATGAATTTTAGAACTTGGTTTTCTAACTTTGTGAAGAATGATGTTGGTATTTTGATGGGGATTGTGTTTTTGGTAGTATGGTCCTTTTCATAATGTTGATTGTACCCATCCATGAGCATGGGGTATGTTGCCATTTGTTTGTGTAATCTATGATTTCTTTCAGCAGTGTTTTGTGGTTTTCCTTGTAGAGGTTTTTTGACTCCTTTGTTAGGTATATTCCTAAGTTTTGTGGGTTTTTTTTTCTTTTTTTTTTTTTTGTAGTTATTGCAAAAGGTGGTGAGAGTGCTTGATTTGATTCTCCACTTGGTCACTGTTGGTATATAGAAGAGCTACTGATTTGGGTACACTAATCTTGTATCTGGAATCTTTGCTGAATTATTCTATCAGTTATAGGAGCTATCTGGAGGAGACCTAAGGGTTTTCAAGGTAAATGATCACATTGTCAGCAAACAGAAACAGTTTGACTTCCTTTTTACCAGTTTGGGTGTCCTTTATTTCTTTCTCTTGTCTGATTGCTCTGGCTAGTACTTCCAGTACTATGTTGAAGAGGAGTGGTGAGAATGGGCATCCTTGTCTTGTTCCCATTCTCAGAGGGAATGCTTTCAACTTTTCCCCATTCAGTATTATGTTGGCTGTGGGTTTGTCATAGATGACTTCTATTACATTAAGCTATGTCCCTTGTATGCTGATTTTGCTGAGGGTTTTAAACATAAAGGGATGTTGGATTTTGTCAAATGCTTTTTCTGCATGTATTGATATGATCATGTGATTTTTGTTTTTAATTGTGTTTATGTGGTATATCACATTTATTGACTTTCATATATTAAACCATCCCTGCATCCCTGGTATGAAACCCACTTTATCACGGTGGATTATCTTTTTGATATGTTGTTGGATTTGTTTAGCTAGTATTTTGTTAAGGGTTTTAGCATCTATGTTCATCAAGGATATCAGTCTGTAGTTTTCTTTTTTGATTGTGTCCTTTCCTGGTTGGTATTAGGGTGATACTGACTTCATAGAATGAATTAGGAAGGGTTCCTTCTTTCTCTATCTGTGGAATAGTGTCAAAAGGAT